TAGGTTCATACAAATTATCTGTGCCATAATCCACCACTGCATATTCTGCAGCCATATCCGCATGTTTCTGAGTATCTGCAACCTAAAAAAATGTGGATAGGTATGAAGCACCTCAGCAAGAAAGGGTCCTTCTATGACTGAAGTTGCTATAAATGAATCATTGGAAATTCAAGTTACCACAAAGGCAAGTAGTTGACTTGCACCCTTGGTCAACTTATCTGCAAATAGGTCTTCGTCACCGAACAGGGTTGTAGCTCCAATGTTATGTCCACCAACAGGAATATCTCGAGCGGAAATAACAGCGACAACTCCCTCTGGTTGTGATTTGGGAGGAAAAGTAATATCCTTTACCCGTGCCAAAGGCTTTTTGCTATATATGAATGCTCCATATAGGCAATTTGTTGGGGAAGGAATATCGTCCACATAGATAGCCTCGCCTAAAATATTCATAAGCATATTTACATTGGTTTCCTAATACTTGAGAACAAGAAATCGTGTCAAATAAATAGACCTAAAAGAACGTGGAGCGCTAAATATTATGAGTGTAAGCGTAAAATATCAAGTGAAGAATCAACTTTGAACATGTAAGCCTAACCTTGAAGCAGTATTGGAAGTATAACAACTAGGTAACATGAGACATCTGACACTAAGTAGACTCGATCGAGTCGAAGTTGAAAATGAAAGTAGTTCAGAACGGGGGAATACTAAATCTAATTCAAATGAGATAACAGGCACGCGCCTTTGAATCCATGGAAATAAACGTAGCAGAATATGTCGACTTAGCCTGAGGTCACACACCTACATGTACAAGTTCTAACTCATTTACGCCCTGCCATGCAGACTAGTTTTGCTACAGAAGCTCACGAGGTTAACTAAAACAAGTTCGTTCGTGAAAGTCTAATTTCATATTATGACAAGATATAAAGTACCTGAAGCTTGAATGGCAGCTCCAGATTTTATAATGGTATCTCCGACTGGATAATATTCTGAACTCAATTCCAGTGTCTGCTTTCCAGATGATAGTAGAGTAGCCGTCTTATTATAACCAAGTGAACCGTGGTTCAAGTTAAATCTTTCAGGTCGTGTTGACGAAGCATTCCTGCATCCATCTAGGTGATCTCTATCGATTGCAACCTTTTCATCAACCAAGGAACTTAAGAACACAAAAAGGAAGCCAACTGCTAAGCTTGTCCTATAAGCAGGACATGCAGTGCCCTTTTCAGGAACTATAGTGGCTCCAGTCAATGAGATAGCTTCATATATGACATTATAATCAATAACTTTTCCAGCTAGAAATTCTTCAATATTTCTTGCTCTAATGGCATGTTTGGTCCCATATGCTCCAAAAGCCAGGTGACAGCTATTTAATACGATCCCGTTGGAATTTTTACATGGGGAGATTGCAGCTAAGAAAGCAGCGTTTAGGTACGGCAGTGCATTACCAAGGGGTCGTGGCGACGCTCTAAAACTATCAAACATGACAGTAGCATCATTTGAATCAACGTCCTTAACTGAATCCCAATTTGGAATCTTAACACTTAAAAGTACACATTTAGGACCCAATGGAGGTCTCTTGAGAAACTCATCCAACATAATCGTTTCTTGGCTGGAACCAGTTAATATACTTATCATGGAACCTGCAGCAAGAAGTATTGTGGCAATATCTGAGGGAAATTGTTTTCTTTGTGCCATCATTAAATTTCCTCCAATGCTGGCAGTATTTCGTACAAAACTCGAAGCAATTTTCTCCATGTGCTCGGCCAGTTTATTGAACACTAGCTCGCCTATAGACGAGCTTTCATGGTTATTATTTTTCAGAGCTTCAATAGCTTTTGCAATTGTCACCGTCGCACCAATCTCTATTCCTGTTGAATCCTTTCTGATAACAGAAAGCTCAGGGATGAATTTAAGATTAATGTATCTATCAACACGTTCAAATTCTTTGTAGTAGCCAACTTCGGTGTTGCCAACGACTAACTTCGTTTTGCTTATATTACTAGAATCATCACATCCCAGTAATCTGTTTAGATCCTTAATACTAAGGGGATTAAGCCAGGAACATCCCTTAGAGTCGACGAAAGGGATAGACCTTATTTCCTTTTTTAAAAATTCAGGAAATAAGCACGGTCCATTATTTGGATCATAAGGAGGCAATTTACTCGATTTCTCTTCCTCACCACATCCCTTTTTCCAGAACGCGTTTAACCCCAAATCCTCCATGTCAACATCAGAAGCAAAACTCTTACAGGCATCAGCAATTGGCCTGTATCCTGTACAGCGGCAGAGGTTTCCAGAAATAGCCTTTTCAGCTTCAGAAACCGTAAGTTTCGAGAATCCCGGTGAGGGCTCAGGTCGATTGGTCTTTTCAGCCTTGACGAGAGCAGAAAAAAGTGAAACACACATTCCAGGGGTACAAAAGCCACACTGAGAAGCATGAAAGCCAGCAAATCTTTGATGAATTGAGTGGAAACCATCCTTGCAATTCCCAATACCTTCACTGGTTGTAATTGAACAGCCATGTATACTACCAAGCAAGGTGAGGCATGAGCTTACTGTAAAATCTTCGACCTTATCTAACACAGGATCGTATTTGGACAATAGAACAACACAAGCACCACAGCCGCCTACATTTCAAAATAACCAATCACGTCAACAGAGTTTTATCAAATTAAATACCTATAATGATTTCTGCAGAGAAGAATAGTGAACCAATGATCAGTTACAAATTGAATCCAACCCTCCGATTTCCAGGGTAAAAAATAGCCGAATTGCTGGAACGGAACATCATCTTCAATTTTAAACGATGGTGATGATCTTTAACTAGTACTCTTTCATGTATCAGATCATAAAAGTCATTTGAACCAAGGTTCACAGAAAACAGACTATCAGTAATATAAACATAAATAGACTATCAAGTTGTACTCATCAAAGGTGTGAAAGGAAAGGACAAGCCAACTAAACAAAGTTTGCAAAATAGTAAACGGCAACTATAGTAGCCAACGAAAACAAATATTTAAGTGCACTATATGCTGATAAAGTAACGTCTGCAATAGAATACTCATTCATGCAGTAGATTCAAGCGAGATTAAGAAAACTAAAGAAAGAAAATCCATTTTTCCATGGAAAGGAAGCAACCCCAAGTCATGGATTTGATAAAGATTAAGTAATTGATCAGAGAAAGGAGGAGAGAGAGAGAGAGAGAGAGAGAGACCTTCACCACAGCCAAGCTTGACACTCTTGAAAGAAGTATGATGGCGCAGAAAGTGAAGCAGAGTAATGGAAGGGTCAACAGTTGAGAGCTCAAACCTCTGTTGATTAACAGCAAAGACTAGAGGAACTGCTGATTTGTTTGGTTGATTCTCCATTGTGGATGCCAGGAACAAAAGCGGCTTCCACCTTGCATTTTATAGACAAAAGGAGACAATCTAGACAACCACCCATGGATAAGTTTAAGTTGAAAATGTGCAGAGTAGATGGAACCTGGATTGACATTGAAATTTGTAGCTCCAACCTCAACATGATTGCAACGTCACAACAAACAGCTGGGAGCAATTTAATCAGATGATTTTTTTTTAAGTTATGTAGCCTACTGCTTATTCAATTACTCAATGTTATACATATAGTAAGGCTATATAGCGGAGCATATATAGCAAATGAACAAGCTATATATATGCAAATGATTGTATATAGTAAATACTTATGTACGGTCATATATAGTAAACACAACTCTATATAAATGGTCATATATAGTAAACGATCATATATAGTAAACAATTATTATAGTATAATAAACAGCTATGTATGGTAAATGGTTATACATAGTAAATGATTATATATAGTGGCTAACTATCTATCTCCACACATCCTCCTCATGCCTAGATAGTGTTTTGAAAATGTATTTTCTGCCTCTCTGTATTCTAGTAGTTTTTTGTGTTCATCTAAATTGAGTGTGTGAGTTGTTGTGTGGTTCTAACAACTGGTATCAGAGGTAGGAGATATTCATCATGATCTATGAAGATGGAAAGCTCAAAGATTGAAATTGAGAAGTTTGATGGATCTGATTTCGGTTTCTGGAAGATGTAGACCGAAGATTATCTGTACCAAAAAGATCTTCATGAACCCTTGTTCAAGGTGAAGCCAAATACCATGACCACGGAGTAGTGAACGCTCAAGGAGCAGCAAGTTCTAGGATTGATCCGATTAACATTGTCCAAAAAGGTAGCATTCAATATTATCTAGGCGAAATAACTTTAGATCTATTCAAGGCATTGTCGAACATGTACGAAAAACCATAGACAATGAGCAAGGTGTATTTGATGCGTAGATTGTTCAATCTACAAATGACGATGGATCGGCTGCAAATCACATAAATGAATTCAATATGATTGTAAGTCAACTGAGCTCTATGGAAATTAACTTCGAAAATAAACTCAAAGCATTGATTTTGATGTCATCTTTATTTGAGTCGTGGGATACTATTGTTGTTGTAATCGGCCTTTCTCAAGGACCTGAAAAATAGAAGTTTGATGGAATCCAAGATGCGAAAATACTCACAAGGAAAGTTAGAGATTCAAATCTGAAATTTTTTTTCAAATAGGAGAATCGTCATGGTAAAATTGTCGTCGACTCGTCGGTAGAAGGAGGATAGTTGACCATGGACGGGTGAGAAGAAAAGAAGTGTGGAATTGAGAGGGAGATGAGAGCTAGAAGGGGGAAGGACAAAAAATTTCTAAATTTTAGGTCAATCACTCAAGTCTCTCATCAACTCCATCAACTCCCACTTTAGTTTTAGTTGTAAATTACATAATGCAAGTGAAGCATCAATAATTTACACAACCCACGCATAATTGAGGTCTAATTTTTACCGGACACCGTTTGTCCTCTACTACAACACCATCACCTTCTCTTGGTTTGTAGTTCCATTTCAGGATGGATTTCTTTTGAATTCTTTTAAAAATTAGGAGGCTATTTAGAGAGGAAAAGAAGTGGAATCAGAGAAATAAAATAAAGAAAAGATAAATTTATTTAACCTGAAGATTCAAACCTCGACCTTTCGATCGAAGGTATGTCTATTACATACCGGTTAAACTCACTTTGACTTTAACCTACAACAAATATGTACGTAATGAGTTTAACTTAGAAGTAATTGAAGTATGTCCAAATGAAATTTAAGCAAAGATTAAAATTTTACATTGGAATATCATATCAGCATGCCTCCTTTTATTACATCTCTTGATCCTTTCGCTCAGCAAGATCATTTACCATCCACTTCAGAATGGCAACACAAACTAAAGCAAATGATACATATATGTATAATTTTAGTGTATTGATAAAATTACTCTCATGTCGCTTCAGACGGTAGATAGCACCATTAGTTCAACCCACTGCTCTGACCTCTAAGCTTCCCAGAAGTTTAGAGTTCATCCAAACGCATCTTACTGCCTGAAAAGGAAATTTACCAGAGGCATCACTTCAAAAGGGGCCATCAGAAAATGAGCAATGTATGGTAAGCTGATGATTTTATTTTTGTAGTTTTTCATCTATAGCTCTTTCTCTGCTGCATATGAACTAGAAAATGAGCAAGTGCATCACCTAGCTGTGTTTTGATCAGCTCGCAATGCGTCTACTTCTGATTCATTGATCCATTTCAAGTAACTTTCCACACAGTCTAGCCCGCAGGCCTCTTTAACAACAGGCAAGGTAGCAGGAACCTCCAGCTGAAACGCGTGATCAGACTCGTCTTGACCGCGCCATCTTCGTATCTGTTTCCGTGCTTCTTTAATTGCCGCTCGTGTTGCACAGTGAACTGATGCAGCTAGTAGCAATGGTGGCTCTCCAGAAGCTGCACAAATGCATTTCGTTTATTCAAATCCCACTCGAAGAAACCCTTGTATCCATGCTTTATACCCTTTGGATTGTGTACATAATTGTTTTCATCATCCATATAGTTTTAAATGATATGTATTTTCCTTTCTAGTTTCTATGTTAAGCCAAAATCTGATGATGGAACAGATAATTTCTATACATATTGCATACATTGTTTTCATAATTGCTTCTACGAAAATGTCTACAAGGAAAATGAAAAATATAACTTTGAATGACAATAAAGTTTGACTAACCTTTTGAAGAAAGAACGCGCTTTTTATGATGTCCAGAGTTCAAAATTTCGACATTGAACTGTTTCGGTATGGTGTCAATTGTCGGAATTTTGTAAGTCCACGTGCTGGCATTAATCATTAGTCCATCAGAATTTGTCAGGTATTCTTCTGACATAAAAAATCCAATTCCTTGAACAAAGGCTCCTTCAACCTACAAAAACTGATTCCCATCATTAAGAGTATCTACACTTTGAGCATCTGATTAATCAATTCCAACAGAACAATAGCTATATAGAAGCCAAAAAGTGCACAAACTGGAAACTTCAGGGAGATTGAAGAACAGTTCAAACAATTAACCTGCCCCAAATCTACTGCAGGGTTGAGGCTCTGTCCACAATCATAGATAATATCTGAACGTAAAACTGACGTTTCTCCGGTGAGAAGATTAACCTCCACCTGTCATAGCATGGTTTTTGTGAGTTGAACTGTGCAGTAAGATAAACTGGCAGTGAAGTGGTTAAATTTGAGAATAATACAATAGTAAAGACAAAGGGAGGTGTTATTAGTGCACTTGCCTCACTAACTGCAACTCCATAGTTCAAGTATCGCATTGACACAAAGTTGGGAACGTACATAGAATTAACTGATAAATTCACTGATTCCAAGTTTGCCTGCACTTTTCCCGTCATATAATGACCAAGATGTTATAAACCCAAAGATATGTCTCCATAATCATAAAGCCCAAAGGAATTATTATGAGGAGGTAAGAAAACTGGTCACTTAAGAAACTAAACATGCAAAATTATAAATCAATCACCAGACCAAAAAGAACCGGCAACATAGCGGCCATTAAAATCAAACTAGAAGACCTTGATCATAAGTCCGACCCTCCTAAACCGCTCATAACTAAAACAAAATAAGCCATTTTTTTAAGCATATGGAGAAATTATGAAAAAAAAAATCAAATCACAACCTTCTGCATTGAATCTAGAATCTTTTTACTTAAAGCAACTATTTTTTACGTGAACTACTAATGAAATTTTTAAAAACTATGTATATGCATCGACCCTCCTACACTTCAGAAACTATTATCACTCCGAACTAAAGACAAACGGTCACTATAGCCAGAAAACATGATTGCAATCATAAAATGTTCACGAGATGGTGCAGACAACAACCTGGCTTATAAGCACATCCCATTTGACCGAACCCGTTTTCTCCTCCAGTCTTTTCTTGAGAGGTTGTAGTCTCTCTAGCAATATATTGCAGCAAAGTCTAACTGCTTCGCAGCTTGATTCAGAGGTAGTACTCCCAGCTGTACACCCTCCTTGTATTAAGCTGACGGTATCAGATTGAACCACTCTCACCTTTTCCAAGAGGTTACCGGTTCCATCACATTCAATTGAGCTGAGGGCATATGCAACCATCTGTCTTACCTTTGTCCATAGCCCCTGGCCAAGTTCAATGCCTCCGACTTCCACAACAACAGAAGCATCAGTTAGAATGCTCACTTTACCAGGGGTTGCTCTCAAAAGTACCTCATGCATAATAGGAATTCGAGAAAGACCTCTCTTTTTCCATCTATTGCAGCTATTAAATTCATTCAACATTTCAGTCCTTTGTTTTAAGTTTGAAGATGTGGCTAACCTATCCCAAATGGAAGGTAATGTGAACTCTTGAGGTTCACCTACACCCTTGAAGAATCTGCTGAGGCTGTCAAACGTATGCAGATTTACTTTTCGGATAGTATCAACATCCATGCAAAGGGTAGATGCTACATGTTCAATCACCGCCTCAGCAATAAAGGCTCCTTGTACCTCTCCAGGGGCTCGCATTGCAGATTTGCTTGTGTGGTTTGTTTTGCATACTTTTATGTCAAAAGATAAAGCACCCCAATCATACTTCTTAAGTGCATTGACAATGTTGTGTGGCATAACTGGACTTATATCACAACTCATCCCCGCATCAACCAATATTTCTAAATCCAATGCTGTAATTTTACCATTAGATTTGAACCCCACGTTGTAAGTAATTTTCATTGGATGTCTCCCTCCCATCATTATCATGTCAGTCTTCCTGTTAAGATAAATCCTGACTGGACGGCATAACTTGTGGGCTGCAAGTGCACATGCCGTAGCAACCTAGACAACATAAATGTTAGAAGGTTTTAACTCATTCATTAGAATGTGCTATTCATCCTTCGAGAAATAATAAGGAAATCCTCAGCAAGGAGAAGGAAAAAACACAGAAAGAAAGCAAGCCATGGTAAATTGTTAAAAACACATAAATGGTGAAGAATGTGAATAGCTTAACTTAGATACACAATTAATTCTAGAGGTCGGTTACACAAACCATCTTTTATCTTTCTTTCTTTTAGATAAAAAAACAATTTCATTCATGTATGAACTTTACATAAAGGATAGATAAACCAGGGTGATCATGTAAAACTTTCCCAATTGGTTAGAAGGGTAGCATAAGTGTGGGAATCAAAGGGATTAGACATTTTCTATAAACCATCTTTTTATAGAAACACTAAAAAGCATGTCAGTTTGAGAAAAAGTTAAAAGTAGGTTCAAGAATGAAGTATACTTCAAAATATAAATGGAATAGAACATAAATCATGAGACTGTAATTGGCCACATCATCTCACGTACATCAAAACCTATATAGTTACCAAAGATTCTATTCAACACATTTTGTTTCCATAATTAGAATTTAAAATGACAAACCAGAAGTTGCCTTACTTTTAATTATCAAATAGCAACGAAAACAATAGTAAATAAGAGCGGTAGTACAAGTAGGAAATACTCCAATAATGATGTGGAGATAGCTAAGGACATCTGCTAGATTTTGGATACAAGATATCCATCCTAGTCATGGATGCAACTGCCCTACCCAACTCAGAGAGGTCGAAAGGAATTAATGTTGGACTTATTGGATAAATAGCAATGCAAGGATTTGTCATCATTGCCCAATTCCAACACGACTTGTTAAGATATTCAGATGCACCAAAACAACCACACTTAGTCTGAGGAACCTATATATGCACATGCGTCCTTGTGCTTTGCAAACTAAAATAAGCTTTTAGGATACTCTGATGCCACTTGAATAATCAAGTGGCTCGAGTTGGTGCTTAAGTTGCAATTATGTCATCTTACTTGGATTCAATGAATAACTATCCTACCTACTAAGAAACACAACAGAACCATTACTATGATAATTTTTCAACAAAAAATCGTTTCACATTGGTATCCAAAAAAATCTAGGAGAAATCTTAATCACATGTTTACTTGAATTTCCTTGCCTTCCTATCAAAGAAACATCACGACTAGTGAATTTCCAACCCAAAGATTTTTCAATGGAGGTGGGAAATCTTGGGTATTGAAGGAAGAACATTTTATGTAGCAGATAGATAGAGTTGGTAGCAGATACTCACAGCCATAGATTTGATAGCCTTTCCACCAAAGCCTCCTCCAACCCTCCTAGTAATTACACGGATATTGTGTGCAGGAACACCAAGACATTTTGCAATAATAGAATGTGCATTAGCAGGCCATTGACTTGAACTGTAGACTACCATGCAGTTATCTTCATCTGGAATGGCAAGGGCAGTTTGTGTCTCCATATAAAAGTAATATTGTGACCCAAGTTTGATCTGAATGTAAGCATTTATGAAAATATTAGAAGAAATGACTTAAATTTGAGATAGATAATAATAATAACACTTGTAGCAGTATTATTACAAACTAATTTTCTTGTGTGAAATTATCGAATGGGTAATGGTCAAATTTCTAAAATCAGACTCAAACGTGGTTCAACTTAATAAATCAAGCATGTTTCCAATTTCTTATCAAGGTTGGAATATCATAATTAAATTCAAGGCCAAGCATGTCATAGTAGAAGGTACCTGAGCAGCCTTAATATGGTGATCAGCTTCAGTCATTCCTTTTGACATATCTCCAACCTGTTCTGGATACAAAAATGCAGGGACCTCAAAAAAGCTTGATCTTTCAAGAGCACTTTCTACAGAAAGGATAGGTGCTTCCAAATCATCTATGTCATAATCCACTACTGCAAAGTCTGCTGCCGTATCGGCATGTTTCTGTGTATCCGCAACCTAAATAACAAGTGTAATAAGAAATAAGCACCTCAACAAGGAAGGATTCCTTATGTAACAAAAGTTTCTATAAATGAATCATGGGTTAATAGAATCACCACAAAAGCAAGTGGCTGAC